TTGTATTAATTTTTTTGTACTCTCCACCTTGAGTTATGAAGAAACCACGTTTTTAGTTTTGATGTTTGTTTTTAGTCGTTTTTATAAGACCCCAATGTTTTTAGCTACAGACTGATATTGAAGTTTGGGTAAGCCTTACAAAATTACCATAAAACCCAAAATAATAAATTTTTTGATCTAAAAATTTGGCAATCTGCATGAATTATGTTTAACAACATACTGATAAAATTTTATTAAAACGGAGATGGTCGAGCGGGAAACTCTGGACCACTTGCCGTGGAATGACCCAATAACAAAATACAAAAAATTGTTTTACAGCTAACTATTTACTTTTTTTTTAAGCTAAAGCAAAAACTAAAACAGACGCAAAACTAAAACTATTGTATAGCATAGCTATTGTTGCATTTTTTACATTTTTACGATATCGAAGAAAAACGATGAAAGTTTCGAAACATTTTAATGTTATCATCGTTAACTCATTCTATTATATAATTTGATAACAATAAAAAACAGTAAAATTACTATCGTTCTTATTTTTTGAACTGTTTTTAAAAACTTACGAAAAAAAAAAAAAGATTTGGTTTGAATGGTAAGTTTTTTTTTTATTAATTTAATTTTAATTTGTAGTATAATTTATATACGCGATGCCCTTTTTTGTAGTTAAAATATCAATAAAAAAGTATTTATTTTTCAACAATTAAAGTTGCAACACTTCAATTTATATTACACTTATATTCACTTCAAGTTGTATTTAAGTAAGACGCGAAGAATTTTTTTTTTAAATTGTATTTTTTTAAATAATTTTAAATAGTAACTGAATGAATTTCTTATAAACTTGTTTCTTATTTAGAAAACGAAAGTGTGTTTATTACTATTTCAAATAAATAAATGATAAATAATTTTGACTATTTTAAATGAAACTACTTTTATAGCTGCAACGACCAGCAGGGTAAAGAGGACAAGCTCTTTAGATGACTATTTTGTTAAAAGAAAATTCTACCATTACAGGACATACATGTTGGTCCTATCGTTTTGCTTTTATCTTCGGGGTCATCATTCGAACGATTTAATTGTGCATATATTGGCGGGGCTAAAAATTATCAAATTACAATGAAACTCAATCCTTTTTCTCCAGAAACTGGACTTGGTATGGAAGCTGCTAATTTTACAAGTAAAACTAACGCAGACATTAATAAAGAAGATTCAATACCCGCCACAAAAGATGATAGCTGTTTGCCTATAGACATTGGGGTATTTTTAACACGTCAGGTAACTGAACAAGATAAATACTGAATATTGAAATGCAATTGGTTTTTATGTCCAAATTACAAATATCCATATTCTGTGCATTTAAAGAAGGGTAAGATGTTAATTGCTTTTTTTCCGAGAAACATATGCATAAGTTTCCATGGATAATGATTTCCAAATGCCTTTATGGAATTTTCTGTAAATATTGCTTTTTTTTGCAATACTAATTACTTTAATTACTAATTACCTCTTAAAAGTTATTCACAGCTTTTAGGTAAGGACTTACAAATGCATGATTGCAATGCGTATCACAAAGTTGCTATGTTGGCAGCATTAGATTTCATCAAAACATATGAATGTCCGTCTACAGATGTACGTAATTTAGTTACCTTAACCCTAACCCTAACCCTAACTAAAACAAAGGAAGACTTAAACAATCTTAAAGAATAATTGAATATAATTGAATCTATAATATTTCTTGGTCTACAGAATATTGCTCTGCGATGTCATGGCAATGATGGACAGATCTTTGAAATAAATCTTCATTAATTAATGATGGCAATCTTCGGGAATTGCTTCGCTTTCGAGTGAGCGCTGGAAACAATATTTTAAAAAACCATTTGAATAACTGTAATTCTAAAGCAACATACATAAGTCAAAGTATTCAAAATGAAATAATTGAAATATTCGCTCAACAAATTCAGGACTTAATTAAAACAAGAACTTTTAAAGGAAAATTTAATAGCGTTATATTTGATGAAATATCGGATATCAGTCATAGTTCTCAAATGACAGTCGTATTAAGATATATATCGTATTAAGATATGATGTTAATACCTGTGAAATCCGTGAAGATTTTATTGGCTTTGTAAACTGCCATACTAAAAATTATTCTAATTTTACTTATAAACCTGTATTAACAGGAGAATTCCTAGCAAACAGAGTTGCAAACACATTGACAAAAATTGGCTTCAATTTAAAGGATTGTGTTGATATATGTAATGATGGATGCAGCCTTATGTTAGGTGACAACAACGGAGCAGTCACAAAATTACAGAAGATCCTACCAAACGTAATAAAAAGTCCATGTTACAACCATGCTTTAAACTTATCAATTTCCAAATGTTCGTCTGTGCGAGCTGTAAGAAATACAATTGGCACAATGAAAGAAGTAATATCATTTTTTAAAGGTTCGCCAAAGCGAAGTAACATTCTTAAATATATAAATAAGGGAATGCTTACAAGCTTATGCGAAACAAGATGGATTGAACGGTATGATTCTGTGTTAAGTTTTAAATCTTGTTTAATAAGTATAGTAGAAACATTTGATTTGACATCTCAGTGGAATGAACGGGATTCTTCAACAAAGACTGCATTACTAAAAAATACAATATCTGAGCCCGTATTTGTAATAACACTTTGTTCATTAGCCAATTTGTTAAATGCCACAGTCTCTTTAAGTGAAGCTCTTCAAAAAAAAACTATTGGATAAGGAATATGCAAAAACTATTCTTAAACATACCATAAATATATTAAATAAAAGACGACAGAATGAAGAAAACTTTAATGCTATGCTTATGACTGCATCAAATTTACTAGAAGACTTAGGTTTAAAAATCAAGGTTTCACGAATTAAAGGAAAGCAAACTAATTGCGCAAACCTCATTACCAATGATCCTCTAACTTAATATAGAGTCAATATTTATTTACGCTACTTGATAGCATACTTCTAGATTTACTTTTCAGATTTTCTGATGAAACCTTGAACTCTTTTAAATTAAATTTAGCAATAGATAGAAACTATTAAATTAAACAAATTCAGAGTTAACAGCATCCATGACTAATATACTGAGTTTTATGAAAGGGCTGCCCAACATAAATACTGTTGATGAGAACGTCCAATTAATGAAAGTTTTTTCAGAATTTGAATTTTGGGAGCTAAAATAGAAAGACGCAATTAAAAAGTAACAAGACCTACCTGAATGTGCACTGGAAGCATACAAGCAATGTGATGGTAATGTCTTTCCTTTAAAAAAAATTATTTTGCAACTGCTTTGCACGCTTCCTGTTGGCGTTGCTTCGAGAGAACGGAGTTTCTCGGTTTTAAAAAGACTCAAAACTTGGTTAAGATCCAATATAGGACAAGAACAATTAAATGACTTAGCTATAATGCATATCCACAGAGATTGCATCATAAATGTCGAAAATATTATTGATAGTTTTGCATCTTCAAAAACTAGAAAGCTTAACTTTGTATTGTAGTTTGTTAATCTTTTTTCCATCAAAATATAAAACTTTATCTTTATTCGCATCAATCTCTTAAAGATTTTTTTTCATAAGCCTTGCTCTCCTATTTTTATTTTTTCAAAAACATTTGTTGAATCTTCTGGTGTTAGTAGTCTAAAATCCAGTAGTGCGGTGGATGCAACAAACACTGTTTTTCCCGCAGTTCCAGTGCGACCGCAAGCAATGGCTAATTTATAAAAATATGACGGTCTAATTTAAAATTGCTCCAAGTAAAATAGCAAGACAACAACAAAAAAAGTTGAACCATGTTTTATATTCATATATATATATATATTATAGACGATTTCACAAAGTCACATTCAATTTGCAACGGAACACCATTAAACGTAAATGCAAAAGTTAAATATTTCAATTTGAATTATTCGATTTAATGATTAAACTTGCAAAGCACCTATGGGTATAACTATCTTTCCCAGACTACCGCCGAAGAGCTTTTAACAGAAAGGTTAAGATCATATTTACTGTCGGATATTTAAATATTTGCGTCACTAACGCATTATTTATACATTAGGAGCTTAATGAGCACTTTCTAACCGCAACACCTATTAGGTGTATCATATAATGTATCATGAATACCTTTTTATTCAATCCTTTTTTACAGCAACACCTAATAGGTGCTCATATATTATCACGCATCTACGCAAAGTTAAAATATTGAAGTAAAAAAAAATATATCTAAATAATGTAATGGTTTATGCTTCCAAACTCCACAATAAATGATCACAATATTAAAAAATATTCTTGAATATGAAAAATTCCCACAAATTTAATTTTTTTGACCATCAAAAAGAAAATAACCAAAGGAATTCTAGTATGCATTAAGGCAGTTATAAAAATAAAATAATAGACTAACCTAATGTATAGGAAGAATCAAATTTAGCAAGACCATAGCATTATCTCAACCAACCAAAGAATGGATCATGATAATAAACTATAGGTACTAAAGCCAAGGTACTTAGTATGATAAATTTTAAAGTCATCAAAAACAACGATATTAGGTAATAAAACAAATTTAAAAAAATAAAATAATAAAACCAAAAACTATAACTCTTTATAAATGAGTCTTTAAAACTATATTTTTGTGGTTTTACCAAAAACCACAAAAATTTTAAAGTTACTTTTTTGTAAGAATCTTAATCGCGTTTTCTTTGTACACGTTTTTTTACCATCTACCAAAGCAAGCGTGTATATATATATATATATATATATATATATATATATATATATATATATATATATATATATATATATATATATATATATATATATATATATATATATATATATATATATATATATATATATATATATATATATATATATATACATATATACATATATATATATATATATATATATATATATATATATATATATATATATATATATATATATATATATATATATATATATATATATATACAAAAGAATAAATAAACAATGGATCAGCAAAGAATCTTAAAGTTTAAAATCTTTGTTTATTATACAATTCGCTATACACAACACCACTCAAGCGATAATTAAAATAAGTGAAACATAACCATTTAACTATCATCACCAGCATCTCTTGTTAAATATTGTCAACTTTATCCATATTTATTTTATTGCCTGTCTTTAAGTGGATGCAATACTAGATGGCATTAAAATACCAGAAAATATCGATCTTTTTTCTCGATTAAGGAGATTTGCAGCTTCTTAACATAAAGTAACAGTAAATTTAATTAAATAAGAAATTAAACATAACTAAAAAAAATTCTAAATATCGAAGATTTTAACTATTTTAACTATTTTATATTTATATTGGCATTAAAATGCTTAAATTTAAAAGAAAAACTATTTATTAATTGAATTCATAATCAAATTGAAGAATCATTTAAAATTATAAAACAATTTTTAATAGCACATGCTTAAATAATACCTTCATACGTTGAATGGTACGCAAAATGTAGATAAAGAAGAAATAGTAAATGTATAGTTGCAACAATACTGCCAATTATTATACCTTGATGTTTTGACCAAGTTCGGCTGATGTACACACCTAACTAAAAAAAAATTTCTTTACGATAAAAGGTATAAAAAATCTTAAACAGTAAAGATGTATTTATTGCCAAGTAACTATATTTATAAACCCAAAATATCGAAATAAAAATTGCGGGATAAATCAAAATTAGATTAAAAGAATTACTATTGCTGATACAAAACCTCAAATACAAAAAACCTCCTTATATCAAAAAAAGATTGAGAACAAACGGCTATTTTTCAGTTATTTTTACAGTTATTTATATTTCTCATCAAATTTTATTTATATAAAGATGAAAAATGACTTTGAGAAATCGACAAAAACTGGACTATTAATAGGCACACAACAACTGAAATTGATATTTTCTTAAACTATTATTAAGACCAAGAGTCCATTATTAGATCTAATGTAAAAATAGACAATAGGTTTCAGTTTAAAAATTTTGGAAATGGAATAACCTTAAATTTTTATTTTTGCGACATTTTAAAAATTTACTCCTCATATAATAACACTTCAATAGTATTTATTTCCTAAAAATAAAACACTTGAGGAGTTTGAACACGGGTCAATAATGCCATTTTTATGCTAAGTGACATGGATTTGTTAAAGCAATATTTTACAACCGTTAACCTGTTTTGCAGACCAGGAATTTTTAACATGAAGAATCAATTAAAATTAAAGAATGAAAAAAAGGAATTAAAGAGGAGATTAGTTAAAATTTTTACTTTTTAAAGGATAATAGAGGATTTTAGAAGATTGAAAAATAAGAACTTTTGACAAATTTAGAGGAGCAGTGGCCACCCTGTACAACTGTTGTAGTTGCATATTGAATAAAAATAGAAAATTGGATCAAAAGTATTTTTTCATATAAATAAAAGTTATCAGTAAACATAACTAAGATTTATAAAAAATAATTTAATAAAAATTTAAAATACCATTCGTAAAGATGACAATCCGCCTAGTATAAAAATTGCAATATAAAATACACCATGAGTACTTTCATGCGTAACTGTAGCTAGAAGTATGCATATGCAATGACTAAATAAAGCATAACCCTAAACATAAATGTTTATGAATAATAAGAAATAACACAATAAATTATTTATAAATTACAAAATATCTATATTATAAATTTATAATTGTATTAAAAAATATTTATAAAATAAAACTTATAAAGGGATAAGAAAATTCTTGCCAACCTAAACTGAGATAAGATTTCAATGATTGATATTTTTAATTTTACTAAATCAAGCCATGAAATTGTTGAACTTTTTGTTCTTGGTCTGGTGTTCTTGATGATTTTATTATTTAATCGACCAGAAAGTCATGCATGCGTTACAGAAATAAATTTTAACATATAGATCTAAAATTATATATATATAAATGCAAAAACTATGATGTCATAAATGTACTTTATACCCTCCAGAAAATATTTAGTTAAAAGGTCTTCCAAAAATAAGTCTGCTAAGGTAATTTAAATGTCATTGGTGCGTCATTCAAAGATATGATGAAGGACATTTTAATAATGATTATTGTAGGCCAGGGCATAAAAAACATTCAGAAAAAATTTCTGTACTTTAACTTCGAAAACGAAGTTATTGTTTAGTTATCAAAGAATCATTGAGCTACATGATCAGAACTTCATTACTTTTTAAAAGATCTTTATGTGAAGTCTTTTATACCATCTTGACCAATATTCTTTTAGTCTGAACATTAGGAAAAAGCAAAAATCTTTTATTTCTTATAAAAGTCTTCATCTTTGAAAACAAAAGAAACCTTTTACAAAAAGTCTTTTTGGTAAATTTACACAGCTTAACCTGCATTACTTAAATTCAAAATTAAAATGTTATTTATTATCATTAAATTTCAATCTTACTATAGCAATAATTTCAATTTATAATAATTATAATAATTATAATAATTTCAGTGAGATAATTAGACAAATGCATTCATTCATAATGACATCAATTTACAAATCAGACATATACATTCAATCATAACCACATCAATTTACAAGAGACTTAAAATAACATTTCCGAAACCAACATTTCATATCTATACATAATTTTTTCTTTTTAGTTCTATTCAAATAATCAACAAAATCAAGGAAAAAAATTTCAACACAAACTTTTCCTAATGCAAAAATTTGTTTAAATTTAAAAAATTACCGTTAATGATACAATCTGAAGTAAGGTGATATGAGCATTACAGAGATAGGATAAGAAGTAGAAAAAAATTGAACCACCAAGCCAATACCCAAAGCATACTCCTATAGCAGTTCCCATCAATGTTCCTTCTTGCTAAACAAATTTGTTTAATTTTGTTTTAGTAAATGTCTAAGAATTTTTATAGTAAAAAAAAATAAATAATTGAAATTTCAATTAAATTATTTATACCACGGTATGTCCAGAAAACTTCATCGAAAAAAGTAGCAACGCAACCAATGTAAACACAACCATCATTGGTCCATATAATTCTCCAGCTACAGTCTACAAAATAACAGCAAATATAGTAACTCATAGTAACTACATAGTAACAGCAAACATAGTAACTCATAGTAACTACATAGTAACAGCAAACATAGTAACTCATAGTAACTACATAGTAACAGCAAACATAGTAACTCATAGTAACTACATAATAACAGCAAACATAGTAACTCAAGTTTTAAAAAGTTCTTCTTTAATCATTCAATTACCTGTGGTTTTGTTGTTTTCCTGGGAACTAATGATTGTGATAATCTAAAAATAAAAATAAATAATATAAAAGTTCAAAACTTATAATTTGAATAAGTAGCTTGTTTAATATAAATACATTGTTTTACAAATTAAATTTTACAAGTTATTAAATTTTCTATCAAGTTTTAAAAATGTCAACAATAATTTAAAAAACACTATTACCTAACTAAAACCTCTTTTGGTTCAACATCAAAATATGGCCTCAATGTATCAATGTTAGAATACAGATCAAAAAAGCGCAGTGCTTGTGATTTTCCTGCAGCCCAAACCTACAACATAAATATTTACATAACATTAGAACTAACATAACATACATATAAGATTTTATGTTGTGTCTCAAAAGAAGCAAAATTATTTATTAATTTCAAAGGTTTTCAAATATTAAACTAGTATATCCTGACTATTAGAGTAAATATCTTTTTTTAGCTTAAAATGTAATTGGTTATTTATGATATGGTTCAAATATGATTCTTCAAATGTAATTAGTTTCAATAAATTCTGAAAAATTTCAATAAATTCCCAAAATTGGTTTCGGAATTTATTTCACTATCATACAAAAAAGAAATTTCCAAATTTAAATTTGTTATATCTTTCTGTGTAGAAAATATTGACAATAAAATAAAAATTCTATTTGTGTTTTTTCTTTTAAAAAATTTAATGTTTACAATACATAATACAGTATAACATTTGTCTGGTAATGCATTTGTCTGGTGCACAGTGGACAGAATATTAGGTAAACAAAATTATTTTGATCTTTTTTTTTTTTTACTGAACTCTTTAAATCTCCAAATAATCGCTTTGTACTAAGATATATTTATTTTTATGTTATATTTTTATTTTTTATTTATATTGTTATTATTTTTTTTTAATTATAAATTTCAGTTATATAGTTGCTAATACTAAAAGTTATTTAACAAAATTTTTGAAAAAAATTTAAAAATTTTTCATTTTTGATTAACTGGTGAATATTTAGTAGCTTTAATGGAGTTTTTATTTCAAATTTCATAACTTTTTTTGACAGACTCAAATTTAAACTAACTTTTGAGTTTTAATTGTGTTGCATAAAGTAATTTAGGATTAGATAAACTATTAATAAGACTGTTATGCTTTTTTTTGTTCTGTTAGTTTTTTTAAAAGAACAACATGATTTCCCAACTTCATTAATTAATAATATAGCATTTAATGTGATGCAGGTATATTTAAAACTTGAAGAGTTAATGTCAATGAAAAGAATGGTAAATCATTAGGGAAAAGTTTATTTTGTCTGTGAATTTCACAAATTTTTATAATATTACTAAACCAAAAAACAAATAAGTTATTAGGTAAATAGTAAAATTTGTATTAAATTAAATAACAAACAAAATAACATGTATTTATATTTGGGAGAAAAAAAGTGAATTACAAGTAAATAACAAGTTACAAGTTATTTTTTTTAAGTAAACTACAAGTTATTTTTTAAAAATGTAAAAGAAACCAAAAGGGAAAAATAAGCGCAATGTATATAGCTCTATTTGGTTGTATACAATGGGTGGTTACTGAAAATCCGGACTAACTTTAGCTGACTTTTAAATGCCACAAGCTAATCTTTTCTTTTTCATTTTTATATCCATTTTAATTCTTATTTAATTCTCTATAAGCTAATCTACTTGTAATCTACTTGTAATCTACTTGCAATCTATTTGTAATCTATTTGTAATCTATTTGCAATCCATTTGTAATCTACTTGTGTTTAGATAATTAATAAATATTAAATAAAAGATAATAATGATGTCAAAGCAAGAAGAGATAAGAAAATAGATTTACAAGTTCTATTTGAATAATAAATTGCAAGGCAAAAAGTTCACAGTAAATCACTTCAATGCTGAACGAATTCTGAGAAACACTATCTATGATATAATCAAACTTGCTGAGAATGATTTTGGACACAAGAGTGCAAGGAAGTAGTCTTGTGACCAAAATCATGACCCACAAGGTGATCAAGCGTCTGAAACCATATTTGACCACAGTGACCAAGTTTCAATGAGGCAAGCCGGTCGAAAATTTAGATTCAGTCATTCACATACCATAAAAACTCTTGCCAAGTACACTGACATTAAAACTTATACAAAACAGGGTATACCTGATCAACAAGATGAGCGAATCAAGAATGAGCGAATCAAGACTGGCATTGATCATCTTTATCACAATTTTCAAGCAAAGTTGTTAATTCTTGATAACGAGTCTTACTTCACGCTGTCGCACTCAGCGATAAATGAAAACAGCACCTATTACTCTAGTGACTAATAAAGCATTAAATTTTGCAAAAAGCGCAAGTTTGAACCCAAGCTGCTCATCTGGCTGGCTGCTTCTGACAAAGGTATTTAAAAGCCATTGTTTGTCCCCAGCGGCCTTGCAGTCAATAAAGCCATCAACAAAAATGGATTGTATTAAGGGAAGATTAGTGCAGCTCATTAATGCTCATCATACAGATGGTAACTATGTATTTTGGCTAGACCTACCCTCATCACATTATGCCAAAACAGTGACCGACTGCTATAAGACTCATAACACCAATTTTGTCAAAAATCTGTTTTTTTTTTACAGGTACAGCTGGCAGATTTTTGTTGAAAATCTGCCAGCTGTACCAGAGTGTCGCCCAATCAAAGACTTTTGAGCTATTTTGAAAGGCATAGTGTATGAGGATAATTGGCAAGCACAAGACACAACTAAAAACCAGATTAAAGCTTTGTCTGAAAAAAAATTGGCCTTGACATTGTATTTTCACTTTTTGGGTCAACTCGTCTTAGAGTTAGTTGAATCCCAAGAAACAGACTGGTTAAAATAAATACAAACTTAATTAAAATAAATAAATAACTAAAAACTCTATTTAATGATATTTTTATTTGATCTTTACCTCAAAAACTATGATAGTAATTTCTCTTGAAAGTATGTCCGGATTTTTAGTAACCACCCATTATTTACTGTATTCAAGAACATAAAAATGCATAAAAATTAAAAATTTCACTTTTTTTTTTAAAAAAAAAAAATTATTTTACATGAAACTGCAAATGATTTTTTGTGGTTTTAAAAGATACTATAATACACAATACAATTTTAAAATAGCAAAATAAAGTATTATAGGGTTAATTATAGGGTTTTGAATAAAAAATTTTTTTTTTTTAAGTTTTGTCTGCCACCTGTGCAGTGCCTTACTTAATGCTGGAGACATGAGTCGTCTAGGAGCAAAGAACAGCATAAAAGAGCTAATTGCTTCACAATTACCTTCTGCACCTTTTATCATTTGAACTGTAAAAACTTTAAAATAGTTATAAAATATAACAATAGGATTGCAAAAGTGGCCTACTCTACTGTAATGTACTCTGAAGCCTTGGGGAGGTGAATTAATTAAAAAAAAAAGTCAAAAATGCATACCATGTTCTTTGATAAAAGGATATTTACCAGTTGTTGAATTTTTATCATTCTGTAAGCATGAATATTTTTTTTTTTGATAAATTAAACATAACTTGAAAAAAATAAATTAAAAAATGCATGCTGATTCATTGGAAGAAATATTACATTTACATGAGCAGAAGAAATTATTAATTTACATCAAATTCAACTGTCATTTTTTAAAACAGCTGTTAACAGTTTTTTTTAAAAAACAATTCTTTTTCAGAAATTAAAAATTTGGAAATTTTTTTAAATTTATAAATGGGTATACCTAGGTGCATGTACATGGGAGGGGACATTTATTAATTTTCAGAAATTTTTTCCCACCAACTATATCTGCCCTAAATTCTAATAAAAATTCTTGAGTTGCTGTCTCTGTCTTTATCAATAGCTCAAGCATTACTGTGTTCCAGCAAGTTTTTACATCAAGATTTTTTTTCCATTTATAACTTTGACTTTCGAAAAATGTGATTTTGAACACTTGACAATTTGATGTATTTTATCAGCTTGCGTGAGTTCTTAAGTTCATTGTTGCAACCAAATCTTTTTTCATTGATATTGTAGAATTATTTAGCTGTTGCTTCATTATTTTAACCATATCGAGCAATATATGAACCCAAAATTCAAAAATCCTATTTTATATGATATTGTCAGTTTTTTTATGAGTATAAATAAAATATTTTTCATCCTCTTAAGTAGAACCTCATAGATAGTCATACTATAAATAAACATTATTTTATTGGCTACTTTTATGTTTTTATGTTTTACTTTTTGGCTACTTTTATGTTTTTATGTTTTATTTATGTTTTTTATGTATGTTTGTGTTCTTTTTATGTATGTTTATGTTTTTTATGTATGTTTATGTTTTTTATGTATGTTTATGTACTTTTTTATTATTTTATTGGCTACTTTTATGTTTTTATGTTTTACTTTTTGTTTTTATGTTTTACTTTTATGTTTTTATGTTTTTATGTTTTACTGTTTGGCTACTTTTATGTTTTTATGTTTTACTTATGTTTTTTATGTATGTTTGTGTTCTGTCTGAACCTCTGGCGCGGTGTTAACTCACCCGTAAGTTGATTTATGTTTGTTTGTGTTCTGTTTATACTGTAATGCAGCGTGAGCTCAGTAACTAACTACTTACTCCAACTACAAAACAAAAAGACTCCAATAGTCACATGCTAGGTTTAGGGGTATACATACGCATTAATTCCCCTATTTGTCGTGAAATCAGGTTCGAATCCTTTGACCATTCTTTTATGTGCTTTTGCCTAGCACCTCTTCACTCTATCACCTTTCTCTTTGTTCTTTATCGTTCTCCTTCTTCCCATGATTGCACTCTTTTAGATGTTATCTCTGATCAAATTGACCATGCCCTCTATCTTTACCCCTCTGCCAATATTGTTGTTGTTGGTGATTTTAATGCCCATCACACTGAATGGCTTGGCTCTAACACCACTGATCCTGCTGGCACTAAAGCCTTTAACTTCTGCATTTCTCAATCTCTTACTCAGATAGTTAACTTTGTGACTCATTTTCCTGACAACCCTAATCATTTACCTTCACTCCTTGACTTATGTCTTGTCTCTGACCCTAGCTTATGTTCAGTTTCTCCCTTTTCTCTCTTAGGTGGTTCTGACCATGCAATGATCACTATAAATCTTTCTTCTTGTACGTCTTTTTTGGGCTCAATTTATCATCGCACCACCTACTACTACCCTAAAGCTGACTGGGATTCCTTTCGTGATTTTCTTCGTGATGGTCCTTGGGCTGATGTTTTTTCTCTCTCAGCTGACAAATGCGCCTCCTACGTAACATCCTGGATTCAGGCTGGAATAGAAGCTTTTATTCCTTCTTGTCGGTTTCAAGTCAAGCCTCATTCTACTCCATGGTTTTCTCCTTCTTGTGCGGCTGCTATATCCAATCTTAATCATTTTTTTCATCTTTTTCAAAAGAACAACTCTCTTGAAAACAAACGGCTATTTATTATTGCAAGAAATCGATGTAAAAAGGTGCTTTCTGATGCTAAACTCCATTATTCTCAGTTCACTAAATCTCGCATCTTATCGCAGAAGTTAGGCTCTAAAGACTTTTGGAAAATCTTCAACAGCATTGTTAACAAGGGTAAATCTAACATTCCATCTCTCATTCATGGGACTGATCTTGTTACCTCTCCCAGGGATAAGGCAGAACTATTTGCAAAGAACTTTTTTTCTAATTCCAGTCTTGAATATTATGGACATTCTCTTCCTTCCATTCCAGTCAAACAGGTTGACCCATTGTTAGACATTCAAATCAAACCGGCTTCTGTTGCTAAAGTCATATCTCAATTAAACTCGTCTACAGCTTGTGGTCCAGACAACATTCCTGTCACAGTCTTGCAGAATTGTTCTCCAGAACTTTCTTCAATTCTCTCTAAACTATTTAACAAGTGTTTGACTGAGTCTTGTTTTCCTGCTTGTTGGAAAATGGCATCTGTGGTTCCAATATTCAAAAACTCTGGAGAAAATTCTGACCCCTCCAATTATCGTCGGATCAGTCTTCTTTCTGTTATTAGCAAGGTCTTTGAGTCTTTGATCAACAAATTCCTCACATCTCATCTTGAGTCAAATAAACTGCTGTCAGACAATCAATACGGTTTTCGATCCTCTCGCTCTACGGCCGACTTGCTAACTGCTGTAACTGAAAGATTTTATCGTGCATTAGATGGAGGCGGTGAGGCTAGGGCTATTGCTCTCGACGCATCTAAAGCTTTCGACAAAGTTTGGCATGCTGGTCTTCTCCATAAGCTTGCTTCATATGGTGTTTCTGGGAAAGTTTTTGAGATTATCAAATCATTTCTTTCTAACCGGTTTATTAAAGTCATCCTTGAAGGCCAACACTCTTCTTTATTTCCAGTAACTTCTGGGGTTCCCCAAGGTTCCATCCTGGGCCCTGTTTTGTTTCTTATCTACATAAACGATCTTCCTGACAACCTTTCATCTAAAAATTTTTTAAAAAAATATTATCTTTTAAATCTATAATTTTGGTTTTAAATTAAATGAAATAATTTTAAACTTGTTTTTGTTTAATACTTCTTTCTTTCTGTTTTTGTTTAATAACTTCTGCTTGCATTTAAGAAAAATTTCTTCAAGATTTTTTTTTGTTTAGACAGAATTAAGACATTTAGAACATTTAGGTTTTTGATTAGTTGGTTTGCTTCAGAATGTTTTTAAATAAAATTTAAAAATGTCCTTAATTTGAACATGATTATAGATCAAAAGAACTTTTACAAACTGTTTAAGTCAATAAATTTCCTGAAAAATACATATTTTTTTCAATCAAAGTTATAATGTTCTCCACTTAATAAGTTAAAGTAAACAAAAAAGTTTTAAGTGAGTAAGTCTTTAAAACCTTTCTCATTAAGTTAAAAAATCAAATTTGAAAAAATTAATAATTTGAGTTTTAACTTTAAAACATTTAAAATCCTTTTTAAAACAAAAATCTATAAATAAATACAAAAATGTTTTAGATTTTAAATGTAAAATCAGTTTTTAAAATAACAAACTTCATTTTTTTAATTGTTTTCTCCCTTTCTTTTATCTGCCAAAAAATTGTCAGTTATTTTGTATGAACAGCCACTAAGGTGAGGAGGAAACAATTTTAAGATGTGGGAGCCATGTCTAGAAAAGTACACAGATGTATGGGATGTCGCAGTAAAAAACCTAAAAGAAACAAATGGAATGGAGGAACTTGGTGATGAAAAACTATACCACCAACTGCAAAAAAAAAGGTTTCAGAGATGATGTTATTAAGATACAAACAGAGATGATGTTAATAAAATACAAAAGAGATGATGCTAATAAGATACAAACAGAGATGATGTTAACAAGATACAAACAGAGACGATGTTAACAAGATACAAACAAAGATGATGTTAATAAGATACAAAAGTTGGGTGTATGAGAACAGATTTAACAAAAATGTTAAAAACTTTAAAAAGGTTTATTGTTGAAAAAAGCAGTTTTTCAAATTGCAACAACAGAGACTCGACATGGTTTAAAAAAAACCACAGGTTTCAAACCATCTAAAGGAAACTCATACTTTGGTGACAATGACCATAAAAAGAAAATAAATTGGAAAATAAGGAAATATGAAAATAAGAAAATGTGCTGTGTGCAAAAATGATTACAAAATATGGGAATGTGTAACATTTGAAAATCAAAATGCTGAAGGAAAATTGGAGACAACCAAGAAAAATAAACTTTGCTTCAGATGTTTGAATTCTAATCATTCGTCAAAAGAATCCAAAAATACAAGAATTTGGGGGATTGTTGACTGTAATTATGTTCACAATTGTTTACTTCACAAGAAGGGATGTTTAAACAAAAGACTTTCTGAAGAACACAAGAAAAAAGGCTTGGTAATCGAAAGCTCTCATATGTCAAACATCCAATCAAGTTAAAAAGCATCGAATGAACTGTATATCTCTCCAAACAGTGCCAGTTATTTATTGTTATGAAAATAAATAAGTAGTGGTCAACGCATTACTTGACAATGGAAGTACCAAGATATATTCAATTTCTGATGTAGCTGCTGAGTAAAGGTAAGGTAAAGAAGAAAAGGTAACTGTAAACATGCAGGGGCTATTCTAGATTTATTTTCAAATTCAGAAATTAAGAACTTTTTTTTTTTTATGGCAAATATTTTCTTTGCGAAAAAATGTCTGCACATTTTTTTAATTATTAAATTTTCTAGTTTATTTAATTAAACCTGATATTTCATTACAATTTTGTTTTATTTTTTTAAGATTTTTTTTTCTCAGTAGATAAGTTTAATTTTTTGCCTTAAATTAGTAAAACACTTTATAAGTTAAAAGATGCAAACAACCGTAGTCAATGTGTCTAAAAAAATTACTTTCAACGCAAACAAACAAAGCGTGCGGCTGCACGCGCTTCGCCGGGAAGACTTGTAAATCAGTTAATGATTTTATTTATCAAGGACAAAAACTTCAACAGTTTGACTTTAATTTAGAAAATATTCAGTTGCTTTAGCCTGTGATAAAGCAGAAATGTATTTAAGCTTGTGATTAAGGAGAAATGTAGGAATTGGAATACATAAAGATGATAAAAAGAACCAATGAATTTTATGGAGATATCTGTATCCAAATGCAGAGACTGATGTGTTTCAGTTTAATTGACTAGTATCTGGGATTAACTCTTTTTATGGTTCATTTTATTACCCAAAAACACACAAAAAAATATGCACAAAAATTTCTTGAGGCTTCTGAAGCTTTTCTTGAAGCAACTTACATGGACAATAGACTAAGTTCTGTGATTGATGAAAAAATGGGAATTGAATTATACAAGGGACTCACCCTACTATGGAGTTAAACTGGATGTTTGCACAAAAATAGATTTCAAACTCTGTTAATATTCTTAAAGTAACACCACAAAACGATACTGCAAAACATATAAATTTAGATTCTGGAGAATTACCTGCAATTAATACACTAGGAGTTGTCTGGAAAACAAAACATGATTTATTTCCTTTCTATTCTGTAACTATCAAAGAAAATATGGTATATACAAAAAGGTTGGTTGGATATCTTATCACCATATATTATTCAAATCAAAATAATTATGGGTTTCTTCAGATCATTGATCTCATTACAGGGTAAAGCATTGTCTATCTAGCAGTAAACTTAATATAAACAACTTTTCATAATGAATTGCTTCTAATATAAATTTTGTAACAATTTTAAATATTTTTACAATTCGAATATACAGTTATACCAGTAAATAAATAAAAGCAGTAAAAAGATAGCAGTAAAAAAAGCAGTAAAAAGATAGCAGTAAAAAAAGCAGTAAAAAGATGCAGAAGCAGCTTGTGAAGCATTTTTTTTTATCAGTTCATTGTTTCGAGAGAACTAATGGCTTCAGCTCATTACCAGGCCCTTAGGTAATTACGAAAAAAAAATTTCATTTAACTAAAATATCTAAAATTTCATATATACCTGGCCACCAACTTCTTCAACAATTTTAGTGCGCATCTGTTGCATAAAATCATATTCATTTTTGGCATTTTTTTCTGTTGGTGTCAGGCTACCTGAAGTAAATGATAGTGGTGTATCTGAGCCCAAGTCTATTATGGCAGTTCCATCCTACAGTTTAAAATATAAACAAAGTATAGTACTAATCAGAACTAAGAATAACTAATTAATTATAATAACTTGCATAAATTAGAACAATAAAGTGGTAGAATAGTTATTAATAAGCTAGAAAGAAAGTAAAACAAAAGTCATTATTTTCTAATATTAAATTAACTATAGTAAATATGATTTAAGTATAAAGTAAAACAATTTTAATATTTTAACTGTTATTTTAATTATTTTTAAGTATTGTATTTTAATATTTCATTTATAATCATTATATTTCAAGCAGAAACCAAAACAATCTTTCAAAAATTGACTCAAAAAATGGGCATAAGTCTCTCTGACAATCATTATTAATTCTGATTGTCCAGACCTGTTAACCATTATAACAGAGCTAAGTCTGACATTCTGGTCTTCACAATAATCTCTCTTTAGGTTAATCTAAGAAATTTTTAAAATTATCAAATTATTTCTGTATTAGCTGTGTTAGTACAGAAATAATTTGATAAGTAACATGCAATAATAGTAGCATATGCCCATTTTTTATACATTTAAAAAAATGAAAGTTTTGAAGAAAAATTTTGAATATTTTATAATCATATTTAAAATGCAATTAAATTTGTTTTAATTTAAATAAAACAAAATTTCATTATCAAATATTATAATATAAAACTCATTCAAACAAATTCAATTTAATGATAAATCCTAAACATTGTGCATTTGAAAAAAAAAAGTCTAGTATTTAATGATATAAAGAGTAGAGTTGAATTGAAGTATGACAATTAGCAATAAATGGTATTAAATGACATTAAAATTGAATATGCAAATATTAATGGCCATAAATAAAATTGACAGAGTTACACTGTATGAAAAAATTTTAAACCACATATACTTCGACTAACTGAAACCCACCTAATATATCTTATCTTTGACAAATAACTTGAAATTTTTGGCTATTTATTCATAAATTTAGATTCATCAGGTGCTTGCACCAATAATAAAATATATATTTTCAACAGTAACCAACAAAAATATCTGAAAAATCAAGTACTGTTCGCCATTATTTCAAATTGATTGTTAATATTGATATTATTATTTATTAAACATTATTTCAAATTGATTAATTTGATATTGATATTATCATTTATTTTATATACTTTTTTCTTGAATTACTTAATTCAAGAAAAAGTTTATAAAATAAATAATAATATCAATAATAACAATCAATTTATTCACAATAACTGATTAAGGAATTCTAAATAAACTGATACAGTAAAAGAATATAATCAATAGTGGAAAACATATGTTTGGTATAAATACCATGGGTATAGTGAAAACAAATGAAAAAAAATATATAGTAATTTAAAAAAAAAAAAGAAATAAAAAAAAACATTTATTGAGAAAACTAAAAGCTGATTACTAGAAATTAAAAATTGATTTAGTCAAAAAAAATGATACTAAAGCTATGCAGGATTTGTTGAAATATCTAACAACTTTCAAACCATTAATCAAATCAGACATAATGGGTGATATTAAGTTTGAAGAAACTGTTATAAGTAAATTTAGTAAAATTGAAACAAAGAAATCAACTGCAGATAAATATAATGAACCTTTAGTCCACAGTACCATAGAAATTAAAACTTCTACTCAAAGTGATACGAATTATAATGCAATGGAAAATTTATCACAAAATGATATCATTCCTTGTTTTACAATGCAAGACTTAAATGATATAATAAAACAAATATAAAACAAAAAATAAATAAATCTTCAAAGAATTATCATTTTAAAGTATTTTATTAAAAATAATTAAATTATCGTATAAGACTGGAAAAGTTTCTTTTAATCGGAAAAAATCAACAACCATTCTAAAATTAATGCGCTAAAGACACCAAAAAATCAAAGACCAATTAAAATGCTATCTACTTATAATATGCTTCCTACTTAATTAATATACTTCCTATTTATGAAAAAATAATAGAAACTGTAGTTCACAAGCAGTTGTCAAGTTATTTAAAAGAATATATATATATATATATATACATATATATATATATATATATATATATATATATATATATATATATATATATATATATATATATATATATATATATATTTATATATATATATATATATATATATATATATATATATATATATATATATATATATATATATATATATATATATATATATATATATATATATATATATATATATATATATATATATATATATATATATTGTGAACAGCAATAGTCTAAAAAATATTTAAATAAAAAAATATTGCTACTTATATTTTCAACAATCTTTTACAAAGCAAATTAAACGAGGTTTATTTATTATTTTAATGAAAAAGTTTGTAACTTGAGAACACTATTTATACACTAATTAAAAAGTTAAAGACAGAGATAAAAAAAAAGAACTAATGTTAAAATTTACCCCTAAAAAAAGAATTAAAGTTACAGTTTTCTGTTATATTTTGTTGTAACAATTAATTTAAACTAAATTTTATACCGTTATTATCAGATAATTTTTATAAAAATTCAACTGAAGATGACAATATATAGTCAAATCATGTTTAAGAAATATTATAATTGTTTTTAAAAAAATTAAAAACTTTTTACTTTAAAATTATTTGATAATATATATAATATTAAAAACTTATAATAATAACTTTTTGTCCAAAACAATTTTTATAACAAAATTTAACACATTTACTAACGTAAATAATGAAAATATATATATATATATATTTAATACATTTGGCAAAAGATCCCAACTTGATGTCGATGATTCGCTACTGTCCATTCTTTTTATATAATCTGTTCTTTTTAAATGGGTAGCTGAAGTGTTTGCATGAAGACTTCCTGGCGATGCTGCCATTTTTCCTTTTTTTTCACAATTTATAAACTTTTAAACAAATTTTTAATTTAAAACTTTACAACAGCTTATAAAAAAGTTTTAATGATCAATTTTTAAAAAGTCATTAAAACAAAATCAATTAAGTTAATAGTCTTTTCCATATCTTTTTACTTTGTTATAAATTTAAATTGCTTAAAAAATTTTAGGAAAAAATCCGGCAACAATAACATAGGATATCATAAATCTCGGTAGCAGTTCCGACATGAACTTTTGATATGAGGCATTATACTAAAAAAGCATGTCGGAGTATTGCTACCGAGATTTATGATTACCGAGATATACGACATATTACTTTAAAGGTGCTTTGGGGTCGTCTATAAATTACGTCACCTCTATAGGAAGGCGGGTCGTTATTTTGTGACAACTCATACAAAACTTGCTTCTAAAGTGTTGCAACTTTGTGACCAGGAGGTAAGGGATGGGGGGGGGGGGGGCAAAAACGGTCAAAAATTACGTGACATAATTTATGGATGACCCCTTTTCAAAAAATTGCCGTTAGTGGGTTATTATTTTAAATAACCAAGATATTTTCGTTAAAAATTTGGTCTGCAAGATAAACATAACACGCCTATCAAGATATTACACAGATACGCAAAGAGAAACCCCAATGCAAGTGTGATAATACTTGGCATTGGAATGTCAAAAAATTGAAATGGTTTTCAAACCATTTTAATTTTTTGACATTCCAATGCCATGTTTCAATTTTTTGACATTTCAAAGCCGTAATTAAATTTAATTACGAGAAAATAAAACTAATTTTAAATTTTCTTTATTTTGCACATAATTCAGAAATGACAGCATACAATATTTTTTGCATTTTTACAGTACGCAAAAAATAATAACAACGGTTTATCACTTAATTTTAAAATTGTTATTATATATTTAGATATTTTTGGCAATACAATTAAATATTTATATTTAACCTGGATAATTTTAGATTTAAAATGTGTTGTAAACTTTTTTAACTGAAGCGAATAAAATTTTTAAGTTATAGATTGAATTTATTAAATATTTTAAAGTATTACAAATAAAATTTGAAAAATTTGCTTGTTTTGGCAGAAATTTTTATTTTCCTTCAAATAGTTGGCATTAAATTCAGCAAAATCCGGGAAAAGACATATTCTTTCATCAACATTTCTGATTATTCGTCGCATTTTTGTCTTCTCAAAAATTCGGCTAAAAATGCCAAATTATCCTAGAAATCACGATGAAACTCGCCTATGCGTGTGCTTTATGTGTCTGGAAAAATTATCACAACCCTTGACAAGCTTTTTGATTGAAAGGATTCAGAAAATACACCAACAAACTTTCAACTTTGAAGATGCTCTTGTGCCAACAGGTATTTGTGACCCATACCGGGTTGCTCTCAAATATAAAGACGAAGGTCAAGCTGTCACTTTGCCACCCTTGTTTGACTTTCAAAGCATCATTGTGGACATAACTACGCAACAACAACTTTGTGAATGTCTTATTTTCCAAATAGGACGTTTAAAGTTAAAGGAAAAGCATCCATTGGAAACTACGGAAAAACCACCAACCAGCTCAACAGGGAGAAGATGTTCAACCTGGCTCACAACTCTCGGCAAAGGATTAGCTCATAAATGTTCAACTTCAACATTCAGAGAGAATATGTATCAACTGGCTTCAAAAGATTCAAAAGTTGCAGATGAAATTGCTTGCTCAGCCATCCAAAGTAAAGAAGCTTCTCCATTTAGTACTGTGAGATTGATGCATGCTTTAGGTGGCCCCTTGCTCTTACTCCAGGTATAAAAATATTTTAACTAAGAGTAATGCAATTATTTTTTTAAAGAATTTGAACAAAATCTATGTTCTTATTTTTGGCCCTTTCAAGTGCCAGACAACTTTTTGATGATAAACCTAATGTCACTGCAAAAGATCTTGCACAGGTTCAAGCAAACACTGGGATATCTAATGCTGGAGTTAAAAAAATGGTTACAACACTGAATCAAGTATCCAAAGTCAAGATTTTGGAGCCCAATATCAATGCAAAGTTTGTAGAACTTGGAAAGATGGCCTTGCTGACCATTTTACTTGCACATTGGTGACATCTTTCACTGATTCTGGACATCAAGAGATTGTAAGTTCTGTCATTCATTGCAAGGATTTATCAGCACTTGTTGAGGAAGTACTTTTATCACAAAAAATCTTTACAGAAAACATCATCAAACTTGGAATTGATAGAGGTGGTGGATTTCTCAAAGTCTGCTTAAGTGTCATCGAGTTCAAAGACTATGACAAAGTCAACTCTCTCCCTCACAAGCGCCTCTTTACAAGCCAAACTTCTAGAGACACAGATGTGAAGCAACAACTCTTGGTTGCTGTTTGTGAAGATGTCCAAGAAAACTACAACAACATCAAAGAAATCATATAATGCATCAATATCGGCACTTTGAGGCACGTAATTTTGTGTGACATGAAATTAGCCAACATCTTATGTGGACTTCAAGTCAGCTTGTTCATGCTGGAATCCTAAGAATGTTTGATCCATAAAAAAGTTGCTAAGCAAACTCAGAGAGGCTGGTTCTGACATTATAAAGACCAAAAAATTTGGAAATGTCCTTCACTAACCACTTATAGCCGCAACTGAGGAAACTTTCGTGCTGGAATCGATACAACCAATGAAACTTAACCTTTTGCTGGGTGTTGTCAATCATTTGTACAAAATACTGAGGGAATGCTGGCCTCAAGCAGACAATTGATTGATGGCGCTTCACATCCAACCCCAGCCATTCCATGGAGGTCATTTTGCAGGCAATGATTGTCACAAGCTTCTGAAAAATGTAGATCTATTTCAAAGTCTTGCTAAAAAAAGTTCAGTATTTCAAGTTTTTGGCATAATAAAGGCATTTCGAGCATTCAGTGCTGTTGTTTCAGCATGCTTTGGGAAAAAACTGGATGAGTCATTTGCAAGAAAAATTGATGATTTTTGTAATTCATTTCTTGCTCTCGAAAAGAGAAGTGTGACTCTAAAAGTTCATACCGTTTTTTTCTACATCAAAGACTTCATCAAGATGAAGTCTTTGATGTAGAAAACTGCATCAACCTGCCCCTTGGTATCTATAGTGAACAAAGTGTCGAGACCCTTCCCAGTCGATTTCAATCACATTGGTTAAGGTACAAAAGGCCGATCAATCACCCAGAGTATGGAAAACTTCTTCAAGCATGTGTTGTTGATCTCAACAGCAAAAGTGTTTGAAACAGTGTTATTCAAGAAGAATTCATGTTAATAATATAAATCATGTTTTTTTTTAATCTGGTATTTTGTAAAAAAAAATTGGTGTACTGTAAAAATGCAAAAAATATTGTATGCTGTCATTTCTGAATTATGTGCAAAATAAAGAAAATTTAAAATTAGTTTTATTTTCTCAGACGTAATTAAACCATTTCAATTTTTTGACATTTATGATTTCAATGCCATATCACACCTGCATTATGGTTTCTTCGGAAAAAGACTTGAGACTTTGGCGTCTCTCCCATCAGGTGTGATTATGTTATAATTTAATATAATATAATTGCGGTATTTTATGGAGTCCTTTCTTTAGTTTAAATTCCAGACCGTTGAAATCTCAAGTTCTTAAATGATAATTTTAGTTGAAGACTTTGTTCGGTGTTGGAATTATTTTAACTATAGCAAAGACATTTAGACTATAGAGTATTCCTCAAGGAAATAGAAGAAAAAAAGCTAAACATGTTTTTTAATGAAATTTATTGAGTTACATATTTTGTAAAAGTGTTAGCTTATTAGATCTATTATCATGTCCTAAAGTTTTTAAATTTTATTGAAAACAATTTGTGCTTTTGTGGTTTGATAAAAAAAAAGGTTCAAAAATGATCTATTTTAATTTATTATCTCATGGTCACTTTTACAATAATAGTTATATAAAAGTTTATTTTTATTTACTTTACAAGCACTAAATTAGTTTTCAAACTATCTCACTGTAAAACCATTTATATATAAAAATCATCCGATGCTTTTTGCTAGAACTTTTGAAACAATATGTTTATGACGACCTTCTTTCCCAAAAGTAATACAACCATCCTTAGAAATAAGTTTTACAAACCTTTCAATACTTTGTGAATGGGAAAGAATAACTCTAAGGTTAAACTTTTTTCTTGAAAATAACTTTTATACAATCTCCTTATCAGTAAAGTTGTTGCTGGTTCATCTATGTCTTGATCAAAAATGTTTATAAGCTCGTCATTTTGAATATATTAACATCATTTTTAACCATATACAAACATCATGTTGGATTTCTGAACTTTAATTTTGGAATTTAATTTATTAGGTTTATAGTTTAAACAACTTTTGATTGATATAGTTGATACAGCTTCATGCAACTCATTGTTTTTTTTATAGCGGAACCATGTAAAAGCATAACCTTGGACAATATAAGATATCAAAATAATCAACATAGAACTTTGTGCTAATACAAGCAGATATAGTGACATCATTATTATTGCTAATGTTAACTAATGAGAATAATTAAGGCAACGAGTTTTGCAACTTGAGTATTATACACTCATATTTCCTGCGGCAAATTCCATACAAAAGCCTCTAGTCACTACTTATATTACCAAAAAGAAAAAATTAGGTCAACCTAAACTTCTTTAAAATAAAAAAAGCTTCAACCATTTTTTTTTTCACTAAATAAACAAATATTACCAAATTTCTGATTCGAATCAGAAGTTTGTTTATTTATTTGTTTATTTAATGAAAAAAAAGTGTTTGGTTGAAGCTTTTTTTTTACTTTAAAGAAGTTTTCTTTTTGGACTTCTTCAGGGTTTTCCTCAGTAGGGCAGATCGATTTTGAAATATTCCAAATATTTTATAGCATGCTTAAATTCTATATAAACAAAAAAGAAATCTCTAAAAATATTTTCAAAATCAGAAGAAGTTGTATTAAATAAAAATAAGTTTGTATTTGTTTCATTTCATTAAAAATCTAAGTTATAGATGGTTAAAAATAAGATTTATTTTAAAAATTTCGATTTAAGTTTAACTAATTTGCCTTAACTACGGTGAATATCTTATGTATTATTGCAGGATATTACATATTAGAACACATTACATTATTAAATATTGCCAGATTATGATCATTGCAAAAATTCGATATTTCGGCATTTCTTAGTTTCAATTAAAAAACGGCAA